TGAACCAGTCACGTGGTACAGCCGGGCAGCGAGGCTTCGGACGTCATCATTTTCAGCTCCTCCCATAAACGAAGCAAGCCTCAATACGCGCTTCGCGGAAACGCCCCCTCCATTACTCGACACACGCTCCGAAGCCTCGATACAGAACGTCACATCACTAGTGTCTCCTGCCTGTTGCCGGTTCGTCTGTGTTCCTCCGCGTCAGTCTGTGTTCCTCGGTGTCCTGCTCGTCTCTCTGCCTCGCTTCCCTTTTTTGTTTCATCTCAGGTTTGTCATTTAGCTCTCCCAGTTCAGGTCTTTAGTTTTGTCTTCCCTCTTGCCTGTTTTGCCTTCTCACCACTGTGTAAATAAACTCACCGGCATCTCATCCACTGCCTGCATCTTGGGTCCTTCTTCTAACTCCACACGGCTCGCCTCGGCAGCCGTGACACCTACGGCTGCCTTCTCCCCTTCGTCTTCTCCTCCTTATTTCTTTGTTGGGGTGTGCACGTGGCTTTGGTTCTGCAGTCCTGTTTAATTAAAGTACACACACTCACACACACACTCTGTTTTTCCTCATTCCTGTGCTTTTTGTTTTTGAGAAAGTTTTCTTAGAGTTGGCGATGAAGTTTTCTTTTATTTGCAAAAGTTCTGATTAAGTATGTTTTGTTTCCTTCACTCCTTCATTTTGACTCTGATGTATTTGGATAAACCGTTTATTTAATGTGCAACTCAAAATGTTGTCCGCTAGAGGGCAGCACATCACAACTGAGGCTACTTCACACACTCCTGTGTGAGATGGGGTGGTGAGGAGATCGATGTACAAATAATGTACAAGTACTGAGGTTTTTTAAAATAACACTATATTTGACGTTTGTGTCCAGAATACAAAACTATCGATGTAATCAATATTCAAAAATCAAACAACAGAACATCAAACATTTATACTGTAAAGTGTTATTAGGAACAATATTTTGTTATTTTATTTATTTTATTTTATTATTTTTTATTATTTTTATTTTATTTTATTATTTTATATTTGCAGGTAAGCTAGCATAAGCTAATCTAATCAACAACAACAAAAAGCCTGGAGTTGATTTCATTCGGTCAGTGACGACCGTCTCTTTTGGCCAACCAGCTGTACAAGACAAAAATAAATAAATAAAAATTGCCTCTTGGATTGGTTGCTGGTTGCTAGCTGCCGTGTTTTATCAAAATTTCATTCTAGAGTGGATAACATCAGGTAATTGTTGCACTCTTCAGCTGCCCTTTCTTCATCGCACCTTTCAGCAGCTGCAGTAGTCGACCAACTTCCCTTCATGCTGCCTTGATCTTGGCTTCTAGTCTCCTTCTCCTGCTCATGTAGATGAGAGCCGAGCATGATCAGCTGGGTGCTTTCAGTTATGGTCACATGCATGCACACACACACAGGTATATATACATTTAGCATAAAAATGAGAGTTAAAAATTCTTTGGGGTTTTGTTTCACTCTTACATTCTGAACTTTTAATGAAGAATCATTCAGGGGACTGAAACCTGAAAAGCGTTTTCCTCTAACCGTGTAGAAGTGCTGGATCTCTATTATTACCATTGTATAGCATATCTGCTGGGCATCTTGCCTCAGATGTCGAGTGTGATCACACTGTGTTGCTCTCCCACACAGCCTGCAGATCTGCAGCCTACACACTGATCAGGGTTCAGAGGTGGGTCTGTATTAGCAAACAGTAGAGAAGTGACGGACCAGCAGCAACTTATCTGAAAGCACGGAGGGCAGGCGAGGACGCCTCGGCCTCCGCACACACAGAGGCATGTTCACATGTACAGTACAGGTGTGCGGGGATGAAGCTACAAGCTTTTATACAACGTATTTAACCTTGAAACATTTGCAGTGTGAAGTGTTGTATGTTTTATGATGGACTGTGGCTCAGAATACTAAACCTTAACAAACCTTAACAAAAGAAAATGTTGCGTGTGTGACCTTGAGGTCTTTCACGGCCTCACAGTTCACAGAATCTGGGCTCTGTGTAGGCGGATCTCAGTTCTTTGGACTTGGACTTCACCGAGCCTCGAGTTTTAAACAGAATTATCATCAGTGTGCTTTTGGACCAAAGAGTGTTTGGGTTACCATTCATGTACTACTTGGCAATAGATTGGGCCTGCACCACAATCAGAGATTAAGGTGTTACCCTGTTTTCTTTAGATTTCTGGACTCACAAAGCTGACTTCTAAAGAGCAGATTATCATGAAGGTTTATGGTGCATGGCTGACCTGCTTCACAGGTTCAGGTAATACAGTGACAGAAGTCTTCAGACCAGGCACGAAACAAACTTGTTGGACACAGACAGTTTTTGTAGTTTTACTTTGTACATCCTCACGGGGAGTTTCAAATGTTACAGTCGAGACGGGAATGACCAGAATGTGCTGTTTGCATCAGATTCTCCGTGACCGTCTCAGCAACAGCGTGATACGTAGCCAATGTCACCAGCAGCCCTCGATGGAAGAGCTGATCCAGAAGCGACGACTGCAATGGTTTGGCCACGTCTGCCACATGAGTAACCATCGCCTGCTATGCTGCCTTCTGATGCAGCAGCGCCCCGCCCACTGGAGACTCAAGCGCGATGCACCCAAGAAGACTTGGATCGAGCAAACTGAAGACTATCTTAAACAACGATGTCTAACCCTCGAGCAAGCAAAGGTCAAGGCCAGAGATCACAAGGCCTGGAAGTGCATCGCTGACCAAGACGGAAACCCTACGGGACCCACAGTCACGACCAGCAGTTGGGGACAAAAGAAGAAGAAGAAGAAAAGATGTCTAACAGACTGTAAACATCTTAATTTCTGCTGCAATGATGGCTGTTTGAACAGGGAGTCTGTGGGGACTGACTCAGTTTTGACTGGTAGGAGGAGCTTGGATTGTGTTACAGGTCGGCTCAGAAAGCTGCTTATTCAAAAACCTCTTTAAGTAACCAATCCAAGTTTTTTAGGACTGAAAAAATCACAAAAAATGTGCTGATGTGACAAAAGGTTGAAAATATTTAGAGCTGTAGTAGCTGTTCTTCTGTACGGACGGTGTATATGTACACACACGATATACACAGCTTCATTTGACATTCGCCCACGGAGTCAACCGTGCAAACATCAATCTGTACAGAAATGCATGTATACACTGAAGCTAGCCGCGGGGATAATCACAGCTCTGATGCTCCTTTGCTGCCTCTTCAAGACACTGCACACGCAAACACTGTAACGTATAAGCACATTACACACCTACACACACAACAACATAACTGTATAAATCATGGCATTACAATCCACGCACACACCTCATCCTCCCACTGATCACTCCAACTAATTATACTTTGCTGAACTCTCTGCTGTTATAAATATGTGCAGAGGAGGACAGAGAGCAGCGCCGAGTTTCTGAGGGATGAAACTGATAATGATCGTTGTTATAATAATAATGAAGCTCCTTTGAGTTCATAGTAAGCCTAGCTGGTATTCATATAAAATATATAGTAGTAGGCAAAGCTTTTGACAGGCATTCATTTCATCACAGTAAAAAAACACTTTCAGACTGATCTGAGTAACGATTTAATGTCGAGTCTTACAGAATATCTGATGTTTATCAGCGTCAGTCACCGCGACGCTGAGCTAAGCACCACCATGAGCACCGGCTGTTGTAAAGAGTCATCATGTATGAATGTTTACAGGCTGTTGTAACACTTTACACTGGGAATGTGAATCATAGCTATCTCCATAGGAGCAAAGGGAAAAGCTTTTGACTTTAAGAATTAAGTCATGAGACTGAGAGAAGACGCTGGTGTTTCTGTGAGACACAGCCAAGAGTGAAAGTGGACCATTGATTCCACATTTCAAAGCCTCGACTTTAGCGCTGCGGCCTGCCGCTCGTTGGTTTGAGACCGTGATTGGATGAGAGGACGTCAGGTTCCCGGCGTTTGCTGCTGATGCTTCTAGTTTTTGTGCTGGGCTAGTTTGGCTCGTACTGGTCCTCGCTTCAGTTAAATACGCAGATACAAGAAAGATACCAATCTTGTGCTGTTTTTCTTCCCACTAGAATGTGATAATTCACAAAATGCTACTGTTATCAATCTTTTGTAAAATATGAAACGTTTGCTGGTAGAACTCCTGCAGGTCTTTGTTCAAACACCACTATGATGCCACACGTGTGCGCTCTCAGAGGACAGACTGTAGATTTACTGTTGGAGAAGCTGCAGCTCTACAGAAGTCAGATTCTTTTTTTAACTTGTTTTCTCTGCGCTGACCTTGAAAACAATCTTGGAAACATGGAAACATGCAGTAAGGCTGGATCTCGGTTTGGTCCGTGTGCTCAAATCTATCGATTCCCATAGAGAAATATGTTCTTTCCAATCAGCTTTTACAGAGAGAGTAGGAGGGAGGCAGAGCAGAACACAGAGGAGGAGGAGGGTTATGAAAAGATCCAAACATGGAGGATGGAAGAGCAAAATTATGGTGAGGTGAACGGTTGTAACAACTCGTTACAGAAGAAAACAAATGTTTGCTTGTTTCCATCCAGACTACAGAGTTTCATATTGATGTTTCAGTTGGATTATTGGTTACAGCTACCTTATGGTGGAAAAACACATCTGGGGGCATTCTGTAAAAGAATACAAATCTTAATCTTGATGTTTTCTATTATACGTTACTGTAGCTGCACAGAAGTCATGTATGATGGTTATTAGTATTTGGCAGCAGGATATAGCTGTGCACTCTACCTCAAAGACAAATGGTGATGCAATATGATATTAAACCTTAAGATGTTAAAATATTAGCATTTATTTGTGACACCAACAGTGCACCACTAAAATGCTTTCTGTGCATTAAAAAACAATGTAGACCGAATGGTAGCATGGGTGATGGAACACACCAATAGGAGGTAGAGGGGCCGGAAGCTGAGCAGGAAGGGGCTGCAGCAGGTGCAGCAGCAGAGGTGCATGCAGGACTGATTAATCGAGCCATCAGAGAGTGTCACAAAGCCAAGAGGTCTCACTCTGGTGCGTTTTCACCCCCTCCTGGTTCTTAATGTTCAGCTTTGTGAGATTTTGTCCAAGTTTGGAACGAAACACAGAAAAGGTCTCAGAAGTTCAAAACATGAAGGGCTGACATGCTGGTGCCACAGTCTACGCCCTGCTGACAGCTCTAAATAAATGTTGCAACTGAGTTAAACTCAAGGACTTTCAAAGGATGTCTGTGTTTGGCAAAGGACAAAAGTATTGTGCTGTCCTCCAAGTGTGCGTGTCCCTGTAGGTCTAACATCACTTGAAAACTATTGATTGACCGACACCAGCTATATTACCATGGTAACCCAGCCATTCAGTAATTTAATCAGCTGTGTTGGATCAAGGACACATGTAAAACCTGCAGGACAGCGTGCTCGAGGCCTGGAGTTGGACCCCCTGTGTTAGTGGATGTGAGGACAATCAAAGCAGCCAGTCAGCCAAAGCTGAAGCATTCCCTGCATTCAGTATGAGCCATTAAAAAAACCTCAGCTACAGTTTAACACGAGTCTGTGGAGACGGACTCAGTTTGGAGTCAACCTCAAGCAGCCATCACAGGAACTGCAGGCGCGCGCGCGCCTCCGCCTTATCTTAATGCTTCCGCCTGCTTTTACGGACAGAGTGGTGCATCCTGTTGGATGTGGAGGATCTTTTGCTCCGTCTGCGGCCACAGCTCCCAGCAGCGGATCGCGGTGACAGAGAGTGTGTGTCTGTGTGTGTGAGATGGGGATTATTCTCATTTCACAGCAGAGGACAGAGGACGAGGTGAGTTATTCCCAAGTCCTTCATGAACCTTTGCGTAAAGGCGAGCGTGTGTGTGTGTGTGTGTGTGTGTGTGTGTGTGTGTGTGTGTGTGTGTGTGTGTGATGGACCGTGCGCGCGCGCGCTTATTTTCTGCCGTGTATGAATAACCGCAGACATCAGAGAGCGTCAACTTTTCATTTTGGTGATTTATTAAAAACAGTTTTGTCAGCTCTGCTGTCACGTTTGAGCGCTCGTGCTGTCATCGTTAATTAGCGCTGGCGGTTAATTGGCTTTCCTGTCACATAGCGTGAAAACAGCGCGCGCAGAATGAGACCATAACCGAAAACATTGTCCTGATCTCCGCGGAGACGCTCAGAATCTGCGATCCGCTGTATCGATCCTCTGAATCATGTCAGCAGCCTGTAGGCCTGAATCAGCCTGTACACGAGTCCAGTGAAATCCTCACTGTGATGCGTGTGAACTGACCCTGCGCTATTAAGTGTGGGCCTTTCATTCAAATTACATATGATTTTATAGATGTCGCAAACTGTGCCAGTGCAGCTTAACTGCAGCCACCGAGCTAAAGAACCTCTAATCTTCTTATCTCAGGTTATTATTTAATGTCATAACTCTTATGTGCTGCTTCTGTCATTTATTGATGTAAGGTAGGATTAGTGAAAACCGAAACGTGGTGCAGGCCTGAGGGGTCAGAGGCTGCTGCTGACCAAAATGAGAAAAAGTCGACTGTAATGAGAGATGAAAGACCACAAGGACACAGAACCAAATATGAAGAAGGATCAAATCTGACTGGAAAGACCACAGACTGTATATGAAGGATGGACATAGGCAATGTGAATGAGGTTCTGTTTTGAGGCTAATGTGAGAAATGTGCTGCAGCTCCAGAAGGTGGGAAACACAGTAATCGCATCACATTTGTTTCCATGTTCCTACAGTTAACTCAGATTTGTGTCTGTGGGCTGTTTTTCATTGACTTTGCTGCCAGATTAGTGGTAACACTTAGATAAGCCAATAAGAGAAAGTGTTTTTGTATGTTATTGTTAGCTGGTATTTACTGGAGTTGCGGATACACATTTACATGCTGTCATCATAGGCGTGACTGTTTTGCTGAACTGTTCCTTTCACCGATCAGATGGTTGTACAGCATGCATCCTTAATGGCTTTAAAATGCATGAATTTGGTTCACAAGTTTGAAATTAATTGTATTCTGAGGTAATGAACACTTAAATCCAGCTGTGATGTGTGTTTGGGATCATTGTCCTGTTGGAGCACCTAACTGTGTGATTTCATCATTCTGTCCACTTTGTCTAATGCACCAATACCACAGACAGCAAAGCCGGAGCTTGATGCTACCACCACCATGCTTGACAGTTGTACGCTCTACAATCATTCCAGTCTGGAAAAGGAACAATAAAAAAAATGATTAAAAGCCAAAAATTACTCTGACATTAATGCACAAGTTACTGATTAATATCTCCAGCACAGTGTTTATGGTTCCTTCACTACACATAATACCAGAGACAAACATAGACTGTATATGAATGATGAACACACGTTGACGTTACCCAATGGTTAGTGAATTTTTGTTGTGAAGACTTAGTCTGAGCTGTCAATGAGAATGGGCTGCTTTATATGCCCTTCTCACGCTAATAGGAGCACCATTAGCAGCCTGAAACTAGTGATTTAGCAGAGCGGTCTCCAACCCCGGGCCATGAACCGGTACCAGTCCATGAGTCGTTTGGTAACAGGCCGCAAGAGTTGAGGCTCGGGTGTGAAATTTATGGTTTTCAGGGTTTTTATTGTGTTTTTTATATTGTTAATTTGGTTTCCCTGGGTCTTTTGCCGTGTGTTATGAATAAATCTCCTTTTTTTCGGTACAGATACTGGTTTTATTTTGTTGTATTTATCCGCGACACCTTAAAGGCGGGTCTGTGAAAATATTGTCGGACATAAACAGGTCCGTGGTGCAAAAAAGGTTGGACTGCTGATGTAGCCCATAAACTCATCAGGAAAGTGGTCACTGGGTGTGTTCAGTGCAGCAGAGGAGTCGCCCCCTGCTGGCAGAATGCAGGTTTAAGGCATTTCTACAAGTGATTTTATGCACAGTCGGCAAGAGAAACACCTGTTGTTAAATATCAGACATTTTAAAAGTGACCTGTTATTGCAGTGAGTAAATAACCACCAGATAATAAATCTAAAACAAGACCATTAACCAACAACAGGTCATAAGTAAACCATGTAGGGTTAGCTCGTGTTTTAGCCACATGCTAAATTTTAGACTTATTGTAGAAACTAAAAGATGCTAACTATCAGATCAAGGCTTTAACATGCTCTTGGCTACAATATCCCGTCAAAAGGAACAAATAGGTGAAAATTCCTTGTAAAAGAACAGATGTGAACAAGCCCTGACTCTGACATGTAACTGTCGAGCATGAGATGCTAAAGGTTAATTTAGCACACCTGGGTCCACCAGCTAAGTTTTTATTCTTTGCATTCTTATCAAGGATGGATAGATTTTATTGCACTTGGTCCTTGGACCACAGCACTGTCACGGTATTAGTAAAATATGCAGGAACTACAGAGCTGCATTCAGCCTCTAACACCCTCTGTGATATCGGTGCAATGATTCTGGTCGTGCGGTAAACCAGCGCTTGCAGCTGATGTGTTTTCTGCATGTGTCGCTGTTTGACGGTGCACATTTTCCCTCTCTTCTACCTACACATACTCTTCCTCCCTCCTTTCTCCCTCTCTACGGTTTCTACCTCCTCCATCCATCCATCCATCCATCCATCCATCCATCCATCCAAGCAGCCTTTCTGGACACAACACCTCCCCCTCCTTCCTCCTCCTCTTTCTACAGCAACATAGCCGAGGATTAGAAGAAACTAATACTTCATCGGTGACATTAACCAAAGCTTCATCTGTTCACACGCTCACGCAGACGAAGAGGGGAGATCAGCAGCGGATCCCTCGGCTGTCAGACGCAGAGGAATGATAATTAGAAAAAGATTGACTCGGCAGCAAGAAGAGGAGAGGATCCGGCCTGCAGCAGCAGCAGCAGCGAGGCGAGCAGAGGAATACGTGAAGACGGAGAGCGAGAACAGAAGGAGGGATTGAAGTGATCGTAATCTGGTGAAGAGGAAGAAGAAGAGAGCGAAACCTCGGAGCATCAGCAGCACTTCTTTTCTTTTTTTTCTGAGAGAGATGATGGTGACAGCAGCGTCAGCGAAGGAGGGGAGAGAGGGATGAGCTTGGATCAATAATCCTCCCTCCTCCTCCACCTTCATCCCTCCATCACCTCTGCAGGAGCCGCTGAAACCTGTGAGACTCCTTCTTGTTTTGTTTTTTCTGGGTGCTGCATCGTGTGTGTGTGTGTGTGTGTGTGTGTGTGTGTGTGTCAGTGAGTGTGCGCTGTCATATGTGTGTCATGTGATTGTAGCTGTCGACTATATAGGCCACACAGACCATTATTGTGTGTGTAGCCTGTTTTTTAACTGTGCATATGCTGCACATGTTCGTGTGTATGTTTCCATGTGCTTCACGTGTGTGTGTGTGCGTGCAAGTGGAATGAGGCTGTTGTATGTGAAATGTGTGGGTTGTAAAAACTTGTGTGTTTGTGGCAAATAACATGACTGAAAGTGGCCAATTAAAATAGTCCCGCTGCTGTTAAATAAGATCGACATTATGTAAAAGATCAGAGGAAAAAGGGTTCAGGCCGCCCACACACCGATGAATTGTGTGCACATGCAGAGCAAAGAGTGAAGATTGATTTCAGTGTAAGATTTAGAACTCAGAAATAGGATTATGTCACACAGTAAATGACTGTTTTTCTGCTATTTCTTAAGCATTTCCCCATGAAACCAGTGCACAATAACAAAGATTTATGGAAATACTTAAAATTCATCAGCGATTTTAGAAACTGTAGTTTAACGAGATCAGGCTGGGCTACCGTACCTCCACCAAGGCTGAGCATTTCCTCCATGGATGGATGAATGGATCCAGATTAGACCATAAAGACCATTAAAAGTTAAAATTTGAAAAAAATGCCTGAATCCACTTCCCATAATTCTGTTGTACATGTACATGTACAATAACAATAAAGGTCTATTTCTGATCCTAATTTAGGCAAAGCCTCACTTCTAGAAACCTGTCGTCTATGTCAGTCTTGAACATTTTGAGATTTCTTTCTGAAAACCCAACAAATTGAACCAATCCTGTGATCTCCATGGTGAAGGCAGGAAAAATAAAATTCAGAGCAGCTGATACCATAACACCCTGATTTCATCTGATGACGCAGTGCCAGGCCGGGTTAGTTCTTGGATGAGGGGCTGCCTGGAAATACCAGGTGTTGTGATAGGCTGGCAACCTGTGCAGGTGTACACCACCCAGCCCCACCGCAGCGCTGTGATGGATACGCTGTTCAGAAAATAAATGTAATGAATTACTTTTCTGTATGTTCATGTAGTTCACCGTCCACGAAAAAAACAGGTTGTGTTTCCACTTGTTGAGACTCAACATAGTTAAAAATTCTCCTACAGCAAAGATTTATAACGAGCACGTAGGTCGTGATGGTGCGCGGCTCTTGACTTACATTGTGAAGCATCTTGTAAACCAGCGCTATATAAATTTCATTAAATTGCGTTGCAGAAACACGGAGAGCTACAATCAGGGTAATTGTGCCACCATCAGTGCTAACTGTGTATCCTCCTCCTTCTGGTTATGAGTAGGCCTGCACCACCCATACGACATGTAGCCTGCCTTGTTATTCGCAGAAAAACACAGTTTAAAACACAACAAGTGCTGCAACAGTAAAAGTAACACAAACCTTAGTGCACTCTCTTACACCAGACTCAAAATACAAACTGTATCTGGGTATTGTAAGGCGCTTAGAAAGAAAAGTGAAACATCTTCAAGCCACTTAAAGAAGTCCAGACGCTTTTCTTTCCAAGCTCCTTAGACGACGATGACCGGGATGACTGAGAACCTGTGGCAGTGTGAGAAATATGTGGAAAGGTAATGTGGTCTCCTGTAATGTTTGTGCTGCTCATGTTTTAGCTTGGCTCCTGTGCAGAGAAAACAGACGTTATAATAAACAAAGAACGAAGAAAAGCTATCCACCGCGTGTTGTGTTTGGAGACGTGCTGCTGGTTTTTTGAAGTCACTAAATCTCTCAAGCTTCTGTGACGGTTGAGTTGCTGTATGAGGTTTGAGTCAAAGAACAAGACACATGCAGAAAATGCATCCCCAGATTTTTTTTATAAAATGTGCTAACGGCTGTCTAAATGACTCGGGTAAAGTTTGTAGCATGCGTGCTTGTTGTTTTTGTCTGCTTCCACTTGTCTTTGCACTAGGATGCTGTCGGAGTAAATGTGCAGTCATATTCGTTGTGTTCCCACTAGTGCTTTCAGGTTCATCTCGTTGAAAATGACGTTAACGCCACAACACGGCAAATCTCCGTTAACGAGCTACCGCGGATCGCCCTGAGCATGGGGCTGGACGGCCAACATGTTAACGAGCTAACTGTGCTAACACACTAGTTCCCACCCATGTAATTGAGCATTGCGTGGCACATCCAACATACTGTTTTACTTTAGTCCATGACGCGCTTACCTTCAGGGTCATACGTCACATGAAAACCAAGATGGTTCCAAAGGCCAGATCTGAATGAGGGTGGGGGAGGTTCAATTTGCCATGTTGCAAGGAGCTTAGCTTCTGTCAATACAACATTTTTAATTTATTTTATCAACTTTTCTTCTGAGGATACTGTCTGTGTTGAGCGCTCAGTGGATCTGTGCTCGACAGTGCAGCCTAGGCGGAGCAGTCGAACGCAGATTCACTGAGCGCTCAACACAGACAGCATCGTCAGAAGGAAAGTTGATAAAATAAATTAAAAATGTTGTATCATTCCATGCATATGCGTACCGAACCGAAAGCACTGTATCGAACGGTTCAATATCGATACGAGTATCGTTGCACTCCTAGTCTTTACAATAAAAGGCACCTCGGGGTTGCTGTTGTTGTGATTTGGTGCCATATAAATAAAATAAAATTAGATGGTTAACCTGTACTCAACCAATTGGTTACCATGACTACTTTGTCAGTCACCAAATACAAAGACATTCAGCGCTATCACTGCATCCACAGATTGTTCCTCAGTCGCATTGTTCCAGTGCGACTGAGGAATAAATGGATGCAAACTGTGATTGAAGTGAGTAATGATGGCCTGTGCTGGTTTACATCGAGGGACACGATTGGTTCTTCATCTGCTAAATGCAACACTGTTTACACCAGATCTGCTGTGCACATCTGATCATTGGTCCGTTAATGAAGTCACTGTGTAAAAGAAGACTGCTTCTACTTTTTTGTTGTTAGTTTGTAAGCATTTATTCATCTTATAACCTCTGATGGACAATCAGAGAAGGATGTGCTTGAGGATCCGCTGGGCTAACTAAGGATGATTGTTAATATGTTAGAGTAAGAAATTAGCCATTTCAGCTATCCTATGTTAGCTAATTAAACGAGTAAAACCATCTGATCTTTCAGTAAGCTTAAAGTCTTCTGATGCAGCCTTTGTCCAGCCAGTGCCGAAGGCTTCAACAGTTTAGACGCTCAAACAGCCAAGAAAGGGTTAAAGTGCAATTCCACCATCAACTTCTTTGTAAAGAAATGTTTAATGATTCAGTTGTTCATCATTAACTCACTCCTCTTTAGTTCCTTTGTCATCGACAGAAACACTGTCAGTTTTTGTCCTCAAAGTTCGGCTTCATAACAAAGCTGATAACTGGCAGGAAGAAACTTAAAACCTATTCAGTGTGAGTGAACAGTTACACACAAACGCTCTGTGTGGAGCAGACATAAAGCAGTGATGTGCAGAGAGAGAGAGGGATGGTGGTCAGTTAGTGAGCCATGAATAATTGAATGTGCTTAATGGGAAGGGATATAAAAACTGAAACTGTTTGGCCGCGCTGCAATAGAGACCAGAAGGCTGAGCGCTCGTGTGTGAGCATGTAGAGCTGTTCTTCTGAGGACCGGTTTCACTGTTAGACCGTCAGTGTGGACGTTGTTGGTTCCCACATGCCTTCAGGCTGTGTGAGGGTAAAGCCTTGGCTTAGGGTTAGGTTTAGGATCAGCTCTGCGTTTGGGTGGGAATTATGCAGTTAGTGGTCATTTTTAAGGTTGGAGGAAGAAGCTCCATGATGCCAGTAGATCAGGGAACACGTTCACAAAACAGCCATGCAAACAAGGACGTTGGCTGTGATGGTGCTGTCCTTATGGCTGAAATGTCTTCTAAAGCACAGCAGTGACCCTAAGATCAATCTAGTATGAAGTGTTTAAAGTGCCATTACCCACAAATGCATTCAGATAATTTCAGTTTTCTGTGAAGACATTTTGTTTTCCTCTCTGTGCTGATTAGTGTGTTTAGCAGTTTGGTGTCATTAAACAGTCCAGCTGGTTAGTGACCGTGGTCACAGCAACAGTCTCAAAGACACCTCACTCGCAGACCTACAGATGGAGCTTCTTTTTAATGTGAGGCAGCAGCACCTCGCTGGCCTTTTTGAATTACCTTGAAACTAATCGTTTCCATCATTAGGGGTGTGTCCACCTTAACTGACAGGTGGACACCATCGCTCTTAATTGGAGTTATTGGAATGCAGTTTTTGTCCTGTCAGGTGATTTTTTTTACCCACGCAATAAATAATAATTTCCCAGGATCAGAAACAAATATAGTCAGCTGGTCATTTTTCCCACAGCCCTGCAGGGACACAATACCTTCACCAAACAAGATTCACATGTCTAACAAACAACTTTCCAGTTCCTTTTATCAATTTTTTATTAATGATTTTCACTAATTTAAAGCTGCTATGATACCTTTTTTGGTTTTATGACACACTGTGAGACATAAAAGACGAGTACTTTGCTGTGTATTGTTGTAAACTTATATTGTTGTATAAGCCTTCAGTTTCAAGCGGCCCCTGAAAGCCTGAAATTAAGACTGAAGTGATATACGCTGCAGATGGTAATATCAGTTTACTCAGCAGCATTATCTTTTGTTTCCTCCCACTGTTATCAACACGCTGTTCTCAGTTTTTAAGCTTAGTGATTGGCTGTTTCTTCCTGAAATTTGTTGCTTATAACCAAACTGTGGAAGCTTGTGCCGTTCGAGCATGTTGTGTTTGTGTGTTTAAATGTTGCTCTGATGCACAAAAAGAACAACGTAGAAGGTTAGCAGAAGATCTGAAGCTGAGTGAAATGGAAGGAACGAGGTGGATAAAGACAGATGAGCGATAGCGATAGTGTAGGAGGAGAGGCCGATGGTGTGTGTGATCATTTTTCGTGTCTCTCACGACTGAGACGGAGCATGTCATTGGTATTTATGGGCTGAGAGACCTCACACTCTTTGCAACTGTTCTGTCAGAGAGCAGGAAGGGCCGGAGATTTGAAAAGACAACAGATGGAGGAAAAGCATGGAGAAAAGAAAGATCAGGTAGAGAGCAGCGAAAGGAGGAAGCAAGAGAGAAGAGGGGTAATGATGAAAGGCGGACCAGAGAGCAGGTGATGAAAGAAGGGCAAGAAACGACTGAGAGCATCAATGCTGGTGTTTCCTGCTGACTCTGCTTCTTATATGCCTTTTCCCTTCTCTTCTTCTTTTACATGTAACGGCTGCATGACGGGAAGAAGGATCCAGAAGTGCCATCCAGCTGGATTATGGTGATGACGGTGAAACCGAAATGTCTCGCAGCGTTCGGGAAGAACACCAATATTTAACATGACCTTTGACCTTTACCTATCACCTCCTGTGACAGAGCAACTGCAGGAAGACAGGCTGAGGCCTGCTGGTGAGTCCATGGACCAGGAGGAGGTGAAGCTCTGCTCTTCCATGCTCATTAGAAGATGATTTTCGACTGACGTTACACTTTTTGATTTGCTGAGCTTTGAGTTGCGAACTTCGGTCCCAGGTCATATTAATGATGGCGAGTGTCTGAACTGAGCTAACATAACCATCTGCTGACTGTGAGATTTGGAAAATCAGCACATGGCTTTTGACCCCAGGATTATGAGACTCTGCAGGGAAGCTGATGCTTAGTCAACTCACAGTTCACGGCTCCAGTGGACCGTTGGTGGAAAAAATGACTAGTTTCACAAGATCTCAATAGACTGGAGTCAGCAATGATAACATGCAATATCTTTAATAGAGAGGGGCAAGCAAATCCCCCGTCAGCTGTGCTTTCCACACCTGCTTCTGGGAAACTGATGTTCTGATGTGCTGTATGGAGTGCAGAGTCCGGATTCAACTGATTCATTGAAAAACAGGAAGTTTAACGGACCGTTCTGACTGTCGGCGAGACGAGGCAATCTCGCACTCTAACCCGATCGTTCTGGTTTTAACTGTCATGGGTCTGAACCCCGGCAGGAGTACCTGACCGAACCAGGGAATGGTCGGCAGCTCAATAAAACTCTGTGTTTGGAGCACGCGAGGGCGAGGTCCATCTTGATCTCTGATTCAGAACTCGAAGAAGAAAAAGTCCTCTCCCCCCCACTTACCTCTGGTGGGGGGGAGGGTGAAGGGTACTTTTGTTTTAAGGTTTAGGATTTATTTTTCACACAGTAGGCTTTAGGCTGTAGAGTTGGGCGACTCTGCTCTGCGTAACTTCAGATCCGGTCCAAGTTCTTCTTTGCGTTCGGCCAGTTTGAGGGAGTTGTATCCTCGGCCCTGTGGCTTATTTGTGTCACCACTCTTTGAGTTAGCCTTTGGCTCTGCACTAGCAGTAGCTGTGACTCAGGCAGCATTTCATCCGGTGCGGAAGTTTAGCATTTAGACTCAGTGCTGCCTTGAATTGTATTACCTGGATCTAAACAACTGTGACAGCATTTAGGCTAAAAGTGACCGTTGTCCACTGGGCATTTCCATAGCCGTTTTTCTTTTTTGTTTTGTTAGCCTGAGGTTCCCTAGCCATTAGCTTGAGTGCTACCTTTCAGACCTATTAGTCATGGATGCTAATCAGGGCCCAGGCCAGGGCAGTCCAGAAAGCCCTAACCGGGCCGTGGAGTATCTTCTTGAACTCAACAACATCATTGAAAGCCAGCAGAAACTTTTAGAAACGCAGCGGCGCCGAATTGAGGAGTTGGAGGTCCAGCTGGACCGGCTCAGCCAAGAGAACAAGGACCTCCGTTTGGACCGGCAGCCCGTCGCTCCTCCCCCACCTGCGCCTCCTCCCGAGCCTCCTCTCCCTCCTCCTCCGCCACCACCGCCGCCGGCTCAGACCACATCGGCTTCCATTTCCACAAAGAATCACCATCACCACAACAGCCAGCACCAGGCTCCGGCACAGCCTCCCTGCTCCATCCCCCTCCACCACCAGCATCATCAGGTGCACCACCACTCCTCCACCCACCACTCCCACTCCTATAATAGCACCAACAGCACTGCTCCGACTCCAATTCCAGTTCCCTCTCCAACCTGCGCCCCAACACCTCACTCTGTACTGACCCAAATTTCAGCTCCGATCTCCTCTTCAGCCCCGGCTGCTCCTCCCCCACCTCCGATTCCACCCAGGGATCAGCCGCGAGCCCACAGCCGGCTGACTCGCATGCCCTCCACCAGCACTGGCACCAACACCAACTTCGTGGAGAAAGAGAAGGAAAGGCTGGAGCGCCTGCATAGATCCAACGCTGCCAACAACCATCACGCCCACACCCTCCACCACCACAAATTGTAAGTTCTACTGTATTTTTACTACAAGCAGGGCCAAAGGTAGCACGAGAAGATGGCAAACCAGGCAAAGAGCTGACGGTAAAATGGTGAAAAGTGCCTTGTAGTTCTTGAGATTCCTTTCATTTCATGGGGAAAAATAAGGGATGCCATATTGCCACAGTTATCCTGAGGGGGTGCACCTCCCCCAGCACATCTCTTTGTGTCTGTACAGATCACCTTTTGCCTTTTCTTTGTGTAATAAATGCTTTCAAATCTTGCAGTAAAAATCTTTTAACTACTAGGGAAGACGTATTGCACATATGTTTTTATAATATGGCATCCTATCACTAAATTTTCAAACGTAACCTTGGCTTGAAGCCCGTCACTACATTGTCTGCTTTGCCAAAACTCGTGTAAATCTTTGGCTTTGATCGCTACTAACTTTGCTGCTTCTCTCACTCAGGTTTTGTGCAAGCGCTCTTGCTTAGTCTGACCAGGAAGCATCTGTTTTGCTTGATTCCTTGCTGGTGCAGATATGTGAGCAAGCTGAACAGGGTTTACTTTAAAGGACTCAAACAAGTCGGAGAGGTGAAGTTTGCCACTCGAGCGTTCCCTCCTCCAAACCAGAGAGGTTTGTGAGACAGTGTGATTGGTGGGTGTACTGGACTGATAAACATTCATCCTTTTATCAGCTAATAGAGCTGCAGAGTGAAAATTTTATAAATTGCAGACAAGCGGGAGCGTGTGGGACTCAAGGGACAGATGAACTAAACAGCTACAAATCTCAAACACTGATAATTGGTGGAGCGACGACTCGAAAGCATTATGCAACCGATACTTTTGGAATAGGAGCAGTTGTTTGCTGAGAGGCCAGAAAGAAAACACTGTGTACTGTACTGATCACCATGGTAGCTTCCTCTTTTGATTTGTGCTCATATTTTGTTTTAATTTTGTCACCCTGAAGTTGTTTTTCGTTGGCTTGGATCGGCTTTGTTGCCTGGCAACACTGTCTTGCGCGCATCATATCAGGAAGTGTTGAATGACTGCTCCTCGCTGCCGTCTGTGACTTTCGTCTCCGGTGCCGTAGGCAACAGGATGCGGGCTTGCGGCTGTCCCGTGTGTCCATCGGGCACTTCCTTCGTAGCTGGTAACGACGAAGCATTGGAAGTGCTGGCCATGGTGATCTCTGTTGCTATGCAACTGTGGAAAACCTATTTGAAGGACAGCACTCTGGCTAACAGTTGAATGGTTTTCACCTCGCTCAGAGGAACATGGAGCATCGCCTTCTTCCCTCTGCAAGCACAGAGCAGCTGCAGGAGCGAGGCTCCCGTTAGACCTGCAGATATGAGGCTGGGGAAACGCAGTGATGACTCATGGAGAAAGATTTTATAGTACTATAGCTTTGTCTTATAAGCTCTCGTACGTGCAGCCATTGCACACAGAGGTTGATAGAGGGTGAGTCAGACTCTCAGATATGGGTTCGTGTGATTAATCAAAGTGCAGGGAAGAAAAAAATCCTTCTGAGCCCTGAGTCATGGGACGTTCAGGTGCAGCCGATATTGTGAGAAAAAGCCGACCTCAAGCTTGCAAATGATGTAACATGTGCAGAACAATGATGAAGTCTGACAGCAGCGGAGATAAGGCTGATTCGTTATGAAATCGCACAGCACAATCTGCTGCTCGCTGCCTCTTCGACTGACTGAGTGCGATCCAATAAATCCCACACTACACTGGGGTAGATTATGGCACAGAGGCATGACAGCATGTTGCAGAGCTGCCTACACTGGTTTCTGAGCGATTTCATTTAGGGCATGATGCAGCAAACTGCAAAACACCCTCACACAGATTAATCCTGCAGCACCTTGGGCTGAAGCGGGGAGAAACACGAGCCACACTAGGAAGCAGTAAATACTGCACAACATGACGAAGCAGTTGAAATGTTTCAACTGATGAGAGCCCGACTGCATGCAGCAACTTCTACATGTCGGTGTCAATTTTCATTTACGGTACTGCCAACAAATCTATCCACAATGTGTCCTTGCTCCAAGATCAAACACCTGCACGTCGACAGAAACGTACAGATCCAAGAATGTCCGAAGTGTAAGTTGCATCAGTTATTTATCAGTTGGTTTGCACAGCCATACTAAGACAAAAATAAACCTCACCACAGCACATCACAGTTGGGCAACTGGAGAAATGGACCATTGATTGATCAAGTGCATCACCACTTGGTTTTTTGTTCTCAAGCCTGGTTTATGTGGTTCTTCTGCAGAGCTGAGAGCCCAATGTTATCGTGTTGAGCAAAAGTCAGGAGCCGGGCTTAACTGTACCTCTGCTGGGACATATTAGCTAATTGTTCTAGTATTTTATGCAAAGGAAGCATCAGCAAACCACATTTGTTGGGCTAATGAGGCAGATTGGAAAACCTAATGCCTATTCGGCAATACAAAAATAGTCAGCTGCACAGAGTTTGAGAGAACCTTGAATGGTTTTTATTAAAGATTGCTGAGGATTCTGTGAACTCATCATCTTCTAGTGCTGCATGAAGCGGTGGCCCCAAACATCTGTTCACATCTGGGCAGGGCCCGTATCTGAAGAAAAAGGCATGCACTTTGTAACTGCTTGGTTTACCCCTGGAGTACAGTATGCACGCTTGTACGTTCTCAAATAAATGGAAAGACAATCTCGGCTGATGGTGATGTTTTATTTTCTGTGCATTAAGTAAAGCTAAGTATTAAGTAATATCAGTTGCCAGAGCTCACGCGATGAACTGTGAGGAGGCCGTAACCGTAATCAGTACTGTTCCATCCCATTGATCCACGAGGGAAGACTGATGGAGGACGGTTATGGTAATGAACAGAGAGAGAGAGAGATGTTGTTTCTGCAGTGTGGGTGTGGAGGAGTCACAGGAGTCAGATCTGTAGGATTCACATGGATGAAGAGAGGAGAAAGAAAAGAAACATAAAATGAAACGTGGATGTATCATCCTGTTCCCTTCTTTATTTAAAGATATTTTGTTCTTGCTTTCTGGCCCACCTCGTTCTGCTATTAACCTGAGAATTGTACCTGGCTGATCTGGATGCTGACATGTGATTATGGGACTACTGCATATAAAGCCTAGTTTTAATGGGAGTCCTAATTGCCTCCGTTCTGCCTACATTGTGATCAGATCTTGTTATCTAAATTGAGTAGGAAGAGCTAGCAGATGCACCGAAAAACAATTGTTCGTCTCAGGTCAACGCAGTTTTTTTTCGTCAGAATTGTTGTCTGAAGACCAACAAGGATACCCAATGGATTTACTTTGCCAAATGGATCATCGTGGCATTGCCGTATTGGTCCATTTGATCGACCTTTGTTTTTATTATTTATTAGACATTAGTGAGCGATAGGAAAGGGAGAGAGAAAGAGGAAGGAAAAGAAAAACAGAAGGGGAGAGGGACAGTGAGAAAGGGGGGGAGAAAAAAATCTCCTGGATCACCTGTTGAGAGAAGAAGAATAGAAAACAACCAAAGCAACATACTAAACACAACACCATTGCATTAATCTAGCTAAGTGTAAACAGCAGTAAATACTAAATATTCAATGTTGTTGTGCAGCACGCAGGACAGACAGCGCACAACGTGCTTTGAAGTAGCAGCCAAGAAAGGTGTAATTTAAGTCTACGAGCAGTGAACACCCGCGTGCACACCTGTGTGGATCAGCGCGCTTGTATTCAAATGGTTTCCACATGTAATGGTCTGCTAGAGGATGTAGCGAGCCATAGCCCCGTCCCCCAGGGCATGAAGCAGGCATGGAGGAGATCCAGGCCCCAGACATCCTGAGGCCCCAGAGTGCGAGAGCCCAAGGAGGACCACCGGAGGGGCATCGTGCCACCCTCATGGGAAGAGCTGAGGATCCCCAGACGAGGCGTCACCCAGGAGCCACCGAGCAGAAGCTAGAGGGACCTGCACCGGCGTGCCCGCCGGCTCTGCCAGCAGCCAGCTGTGCCAGAGTGAACTGAGCCGCGGGCCCAGAGGCCGGAGCAACAGGCGCCAGGCCCCGCCAAGTAGCCACCGGGAGTGAGCTGGTACATACCTGAGCGCCCAGCCCCGGACACCAAGAACCACCAACGCACCGACCCCTGAGGGCATCAGTCACCGGCAGGGAGTGTGGTGAGGGGAGATAGGCCTGGGAGTTCCCAGAGAGGTGGAGTCTAAGACCCGACCTGACATATAGACACAGACAAACAGGTACACACAGACACAAACATGCATTCCCACCCTCATGCACACATATACAAACACT